TCATTGCTCATTTTCCTCTCTTACTGAAACTTCAATATGTTGCCTGCATTATTTTATAGTCTTCAAGTTTGCTCACTAGTGGCCAGACATGTCCAGTGATTGCTGCTTCCTTTGTTCTGTTCCTTTCCTCCAGACCAGAAGGTTACGGTTTCTCATAGACAGAAAGTCGTACCACTTATAATCCTCCAATTTCTTGATTGCTGATGCTGCAATCACCTACTGGATGACTTTGCAATATCAGTAGCTTCATGAGAGCACCTTGTGATGTGCAGCCAGAGGAAGAGCTAATTTCTTTAGATTTTAGTTGGATAAAATCTTTGGGTTATTGCCTCGTTTTGGAGGGTGAGGATGGAGGACTGCCTTTTATGGATAAGTAAGTCCCTGAAATGAATTTCCTATTGTTCTGCATAACTTTATATTCTGTATTTTTCCTCCAAAAGACAATTCAGGTCTGAGATTTACTTTATTATTTAACGGCAAAGGTAAAGCATATAATGTAAGGAATTCAGAGATTAGATTGCTGCTATACTGACAATAAGCCTTTGTAGATAAGGCTGTGGGGAAAACTATTTTTAATTAAAACCAATTAACATGAAATTGGAGTTTCTGGTTCTTAATTGTTCAGAGTGAATTGAAGGTTTGAAGCTCTCTGGGTTTTGTATCAATGCTTTAATCCACTGGCATGTGGGTGACATGAGCTTTGTGAGTGACTTTGAGTTGAATTTATTCTTCAGTCTCTGGACTGATGCAATGTGGAGTCAGCAAGCATTGTGGAAGGGAAACAGAGGAAGAATAAACTCACAGGGTATATCTTCACTGTAGAGTTAGCTTGAGTTATCTACATTTAAGTAGACTCCTCTTGAGTGTGAGTGGCCACACTGGGACATCTTCAAGTTGCTGCACGCTCTTCTGTGTGGCACTAAAACTTCTGGGGGCATGCCCCATAGTTCTTAGTGCAGTAAGCTGAGTTGCACTAGGAATGCTTTCACAGTGCATTGCAAAAAAACTTGTCTATCCTCTGTGGACACAGTGGGGCATTGTGGGAAGGCATTGGAGGACTAGCAGCACTGGAATGGAGTTGATGAGTTGTGCAGTAGTCTATAGGGCCTAATAAATCAGCCAAGTTGAGTTAAAAGCTCCACCATGCTCAAGTTAAGGGGTTCTGTGTGTTGATGGGAGTCAAGGTAGGAACAATACTCAAATTATAACTTGTTACTTTTGCAGTAAAGACAAGCCTTTAGGGCATGTCTACACTTAAATCTCTACAGTGGCACAGCTGCAGTACTTCAGTGTAGACACTACCTATGCCAACAGGAGGGGTTCTCCCATCCGCATAGGTAATCCATCTCCCCAAGAGATGGTAGCTAGGTCAATGGAAAAATTCTTCTATCAACCATGTGCTGTCTGCACTGCGACTTAGGTCAGCATAGCTCTGTCTCTAAGGGGTGTGGATTTTTCATACCCCTGAGTGATGTAGCTATGTCGATATAAGTTCCCAGTGTAGACCAGCCTTAAGCTCACCAAGAATGACACAGACTAATGGATGAGTCCTGGCCGGGTTACCTTTATGACTGGTAGGGCCACATGCAGAGGTGTATGAACCTTTTCTTCAAAAACTAGATTTGACATGAATATTTCCTGGCTCTGGATTCACAAGCAAACGTTGAACCAGTAGGTTTTTGGTTTCACTTTATTTTGATGACATTGTGTTGCCAGTAACTGAGTACAATTCATCATTGTCACAAATAAATTAGTAACTATGGTTTGGGTGTCTGTACGTAGGCCTTCAGAGTTGGCAAGGACATTCAAAAATAGTGAGTCAGGCCCCAAAAGCTTGAGACTGACTTAAAAGACATGAATTATTTTATCATGCATTTTGGATTCTTTTTATTTGCCTTCTGGCTTCTAAGGTTTTTAAGCGGAACTTGATTCTGTTTTCCTATTTATTTATTTATTTATTTACAACCAAAAGGGTGTTAAACTTTTTTTGAAAGGAAAGCTGAGATTTTCATGTAATCTCCTGATTCCAAGAGCTGGGGCTTTAAGGAATGCACCAAAAATCACAAGACTTGTGATAAAATCATGAAGGTTGGCAGCACTGCAAGGGGACGGTAAGATCCCTTTAGCAGTCTGCAGCAGGGGATTCGGTGGGAGGGTTGTGGGACTGTCCCACCCATCTCTGTTAATTAAGAGTTGTTGTATCTTTATCTGCCATTACTGGTCATCAACGCAAACGATGAACAAGAGTAGTAGCAGTGGAGAGACTCGTAGGTCAGAAGGGACCATTGTGATAATCTAATCTGACCTCCTGTATAACACAGGCCATCGGACTTCCCTGTACTGATTCCTGTTTGAATTAAAGGATATATCTATATATATCTATATATATTTAGAAAAATCTCTGATTTTGATTTCAAGACTTTCAGTGAGAGAAAATGGTCTGCCCAAATGAGCTCTTTGGCCCCCTGGGGATACCAGAGGATAGTCCTAACATGTGTAACTCCAACATAGCCTTGTCCTCCCAATTTTTTCCTTTAGTTTGCTAGTGACAGACTCCCGGGGAATGAAGCACAGAAACCGTTATCTTTTGAACACAGAGGAAAAGGGTCAGTCAAGGACTGGAGGGTCCCCTTTTGAGTCCAGAGAATGTGGTGGAGGCTCTCATCCAATCAGCGGGTGTAGAGGACGTTTGTGTAACTGGGAAGTTGGTGTCCATTGGTAGGTGACACTACATGTTTTTCTGCAGCTAACAATAGCAAGCCAGGTCCTGAGGATTCCTCTGGCGGAAGAGTAGTTCCTGCACCACCTCCCATCCTGGCCTCCAGCATAGTAGGCATGGCGAAGGAAAAGGAAACCAGTACATCCAGCCAAGCCCCAGCTGCTCTGACCGCCATTAAGGACTGCTATGAGCTGGTGCAACGTAAAGCAGCCCCGGGGACTGTGTAGGGGCTAGTGGACTAAGAACCAGGATAGTAAAGTTGTCTTACGCACATTTTCTGTTACGTTTTCTTAGATATCTGGAAAAGTTTCACCATATTGTTGCCATTCTTTGTTTTATTTATATTTAAATAGTGACAGGGTTCTCACTTCTGTACAAGAAACAGAAGAAGACCCAAGCCAAGGGGTTCACAATCTATTTGCTGTCTTTTCATTGACAAGTTGACAGGATTTCAACTTTGCATTCAGATGTTAGGGGGCTCTTGGCGATATTCAGATTTTCACACAGCCTTTCTCCTCTAAATTTGAATTCTGCTTCAGGAATTCAACTCTGTCTTGCCAATAGGAAACACGTCTATTCTGACCAGGGCCAGCTCCAGGCACCAGCGTTCCAAGCAGGTGCTTGGGGCAGCAGTTAGCAAGGGGCGGCGGCAATCGGCGGCAGCCCCTCAGTCCTGCCGGCTGCTGCGGCAGTTTGGCGGCAGCTTCTCCCTTTTGCTGTCCATGGTGGCAGTTTTTTTCACTGCTTGGGGCGGCAAAAACTGTGGAGCCGGCCCTGATTCTGGCCCAGTTGAAGCGAAGCCTCTTCTATCACATCAATGTCATGTCTTGCTGGGACAATGTGCTGACATTTGTAGGCTCATGCAGGAGTAGCCGAATCCTGTCCCCCAGCTTGGATTTGCTCCCTCCAAGAAGCGAGTCCCTGTGGTTGCTTTCAAAGCTCCAGTCTCAATTACAAAGATCTATTTGACTAAACTAGTCTCTTACAAAATCTGCCAATCAAACTTCACAAGTTGCCTCTAGGGACTCACTCCTCTGAAAGGGTGCGTCCAAGATAACTGCAGCATTTCTGTGGAAGATGCAGCTTGATTGCATTTTTAAAGTGATAGGACTCTACATACTATATAGAGTATATATACTAGAAAGAAAATGAAGCTATAATCTGCCTATACACCTGCTAATGGATTTTAATAACATCATGGTAATGACTGATGCTCTAATGGTTTTGTGATATCAATAGAATCCTGAACTCCTGGAGGTGTGAATCTTTAGTCATAGCTTTTCTGATGAATTTTAAATACTTGAAAGACATCATAAGATTTTACCGCTCCCCCAAAATATATGATTTAAATAAGTAAATACCCTCTGCCACCCTATTTTTTTTTCCCTTATGGAAAAGTTTTACAGAATCTAACAAACAAAAACAAAAAGTTGCTTTTATTATTTGTTACAGTAGTGCCTGGAGGGCCTAATCGGCGATCATGGCTCTAGTGTACTAAGAACTGTAAATACAAAACACAGAGTGTATGTTTAAAAAAAAAAGTCCCTGCCACAAAAACCTTACAGTTCAATCTGAAACACGAGCGATAAGAAAATACAGATAAAAGTAATGAATACACAACATATGTAACATGTCTGAAGTACAGACTCTGTTCATTCCATAGAAATTACTCTAAAATCTATAGAATGTAATAGACCAGTTTGTTTTTACATTGTGTTTTTTTTTAACCATCCAGTAGAGTTCTAAAGTGGGGATGTGATTCTCCATTAAATTCTATAGAAAAGTTATAATTTTTTTTGTCAGATTCTGTAGGACATTTCCATAGGGGAAGGTGATGTGTGACTGTGATATCAACCAAAAGGTCCAGTCGGATCATGGTTTTGAAGGGGAACTTTGCTTTGGCAGGCTGTGCTGAGGAGAGCCCCCTCACAGCACTGGGATGTCTAAAGAACTCCAGGACAGGAGTGTTTAAAGCTCTGCATTGAGGTGTGCTGGCAGAGCTACAACTAGGTGGGGAACTGATGGAGAGTCTATCAGCACAGTACTAGATTGCAACTGGCGCTTAGTACTTCACCACCATCTCATCAAAGCTGCTCAAAAATTTACCAGAAACCAACAATCACAATTAAAAAAAAATCCTCTGCAAAATGTTATTTTTCAGTCTTGGCTTGCACTTCATAAATCCCTGGCTGCAGCTTCTCTGCTTTGTCTCCAGATTCATATGCGAGTGCTGTCATATTTGCTGGTTTTCTTAAGAATTGTGCTGCCGGTGTTCAGACAATTCACTGCTGCCATGATAGTGGCATTGCTGCAGGGCGTTTGTGCTGTGCTTGCAGTGGCAGGGCCTGATGTTCACAGCTGGGCTTCCTCCAGTTGCTTTAATGGGGAGCAAGTGAATGCCTGCCTGCAAGCTACAGCAGCCGTGATGCCAAATCTGCCAATGAAGCCTGCATTTCAGAGGTGAGAGCTCCCTTCCCTGTCTCATTAGGTGGTAGGATCTGCTACTCTGGCTTCACTTTAACGGTGTTGCAGTTAGGGTGACCAGATGTCCCGATTTTTATAGGGACAGTCCTGATTTTTGGGTCTTTTTCTTTTATAGGCACCTATTAGCCCCCACTCCCATCCCAATTTTTCACATTTGCTGTCTGGTCACCCTAGTTGCAGTCCAGTCTTGCCCACACCTTTTCTGGTTTTACCTGAATCATTGGCATTCTTCCTCTCTGTATTTGAGACTCCAATTAGAAGACTGGATTGAAAAGGAGCCTAGAAGATACAGCAGGCACACCGCAGTCTAAATCAACCCTGATTAGAGATGAACAATTTCTTTCTCCTCCTTTATTGAGGCATTGTCTGTCTGTGAACATTAGCATTTTATCCGCTTGTAAGATGCCAGCCGCAACTGAATATTCTTTTGAAATTGGGGTTTTATTGTTAAAAACCACTTGTATTTTTAGATTTCTGAATGTTTATTTTCTTTTCTTTTTCTTTTTTTTTAACTTGTTGCAATTGATCTTAGCTCCTTGTTTCTGATTTCTAGCATCTGTGTCGGAGCAGAACGAGCGACAGAAATAGAATGTCAGATCTTTGCTCAGGTGGTAGGGAATTTGTTCTTTGCTGTGGTGAAGAGTGTGACAGCTACAGAAATGGTGGTGAGAATGAGTGAGGGAAAGCCCAACCAGGCTGTATTTCTAAGACACTGCTGTGGCAGAAACTGGCGCACTACAGGACTATAAAGCATTAGAAAGTGGATAAAAATTTCACACATTCTCTCTCCCACCCCCAATAAAATCCTACCCATGCATGTTCATGCACACCTAATATTAATCTGATCTCAGTTTCCTTGAGTCTCTAGCTGTCCTGAGCTAGCTAGCTTGCTTCCTCCCTGCTGCTGCTCTCCCCCTCTTATCACAGGCAAACCAGGAGTTAGCTACCTATTAAACCTCCCTCCTTTTGAGCTCCTATTAACCAGTTAAGTCTTACTGCCTGACTATTCACAGCTACGTAACTGGATGGCTCCATCAATTTTTGAACCACGGAGCATTTGCTCGGGACGGGTGATTGGTGGCTGGGTCAGTGTGGGCTCTTTCCACTCTGTAACAAATCCTTCCTGTACATTGGCACAGAGGGCCAAACGAAAGATGTAACTGCTTTTTCCTTTGTATGTGGAATTTTTATTTTGTATGGGTCTTTTGGGTGATTTTATTTCTTTTAAGAAAGGGTGCATTTGAAAAATCAGCTGTAGTGCTACAGATATGTGGGGTCAGGGACCTTTCTTCCGAAGAGTTCAGTCTCGAAGGCCCTAGGGCTGCAAAGACATACACACCATGCTTTACGGCAAGCTTCGGAGTAGCCACACTGCCTTCAGTAGGACTACTGCTGTGAGTGAAGTTACTCACATGTTTAAAAGGGTTTGTAGGATTGAGGCTTAAGGACTTGATCTACCACGGATGAGCTACAGGAGGCAGGGGCGCTAGAATTGCGGGAGAGGCAGCAGGCCATGGCCCCATCACTTTTTACCAGCTGCAAGGACGAGCAACAGGAGGGAGGGGATGGAGAGGAGTGAACGGGGGCAGGGCCTTGAGACAATGGGCAGCATGAGGACGGGGTCTCGGGGGAATGGGCAGAGCCAGGGCAGGGTCTCAGGGAGAAGGGGGGGGGACCATGGTTCGGGCACCAGTGGCCTGCCCACTTTTAGGAAGCTTTTGCTGCTCCTGGGCCTTACAAGTCCCTTATTAACAAAGCTTTTTCTTTATTTAAAGAAGGCTTTTGGTCCTTGTCCTTAGAAAGATTGCCTTGGAAATGCCAACTGATTGTAGGGGTGAAAGGAACCAGCAGGTGGTTAGCACATCTGCAGCAGAAGGCTGGGTGGGACCTTATGGTCATTTATACAAAATGACTTTAAGTTTGGGGTGTACTCCAAAGAACATCATGCTGACACTCCACAAAATTCTTAGCCTGATCCCGTACATAGTTGCACAGGAATGATAGACAGGACTTTGATGGATACTTTTTCGCAGCGGGTATCTTTATGGGCCTTATTGCCAGAGTATCTGAGCGTCGCATCATCTCTACGGTCTCCTTAATCTTAAAACAGACTGTGAGATAGGGAAGCATCATTATCCTCATTTCTCAACTGCAGGACTGAGACACTACATGCCTTGTCCCAGGTAGAGTGTGACAGAACAAGGAACTGAGCCCAGTTCTTCTGAGTACCAGGCCTGAACCGCTAGACGATCCAGAAGTACTAAGCCTGGCTTTGCTGGTTAAAATGCTCAGCCTTACAGTGAGCCAGCTGTACCACACTCAGGCTAGCAGGAGAGGAGCAGGGATGTGGCTAGGGGAGGACAACAGAGTTTGAGTGGTTTGGTTTTGGGGGGAATGGTTAGAGGGCAGCGTCCTTGGAGGGGAGGATGGCAGCATGGCTTGTGGGGAAACATGGCTTGAGAGTAGAGGGATTAGTGTTGGTGGATGAGGTTGTCAGAGGAAAAACCTGTCCATCTCTCCCACTGCATGGTCCCAGATTTCATTTGGGAAACTTATTCACCCTACTTTTGTGTCCACCACTAGTGCATACAGGAGTGCATGTGGGATGAACTGTCCCCAGCTTCCTCCTGCAGGAACATACTAGGGAGAGATGGTGAGGAAATGGCTAAGGTGCTGCTGCACTTGAGTGGGAATCCTGCAGCCACAGAAACCTACCTCTCTTCACCCCAGTGCCTGCCCACCCAGCCCCAGTATGGAGTTTGGAGAACCTGGGCATATAAAAAACTGCTCTACTTAGAGGGTGGCAAAAGAATGCTTTACCTAGGGAGTGTCCCAAGTATTGCTGACAGAGGCAGAAGCTCCTTGAAGGAACACCACATTAAAATTTTGGCAGCACATTGCTGGATCCTGCAAAATGCCAGCAACTCCTGCCAGGTACAGAGCACCCTTGGAGCATTTCCTCCAGTAGACAACATAAAGAGTAGAGCTAAGTGAACAAGGAATAATTATTCTGCAAACATAGTCTCTTTCTGCTCACAGGAAGAACTATAAGCAGATCACGATTTCTTCAAATTTATTCTTTATTAATATTTATTTAATTTTTATTGAATTGATTGATCATGAATGCTCCGAACTGGAGCTGTATTATTTAGTTGTGACAGGTTGGATAAAATCTTTTGATGTGAAAATGTGCATGTCTGACTTGAAAATTTACTTTCTGAGAACACTTGTGTATGTGACTTCGAAATTTTTGCCCAGAAAACTCAAAGGCTTGAATGTTTGCAGAAGGCAAACACAAGGATCATGACTATTGTGGTAGCAAGTTCAATTAAAAATTCTGACTAATAGCAATTTTGTTTTTGTTTACATTTGCCCAGTTCTAATACAGGCAAAGCAGTGGGGGTAGAGATTCAACACAAGGCTATTTTCTTGCCTATTTTAAAAACATATTTTAACATTTACTGGGGGGGTGGGGAAATTTTAACTCTTTCTTATATCCACCCCTTCTTTACCATCCCTCCTTGGATTCTTTTTTCTCTATGCCTTCTTGACCAAGCATAACTATTCCACCATAGCCCTCTTTATAGCTCTCATCTCAACTTCTTCATCAACCCTTAATTGTCATCAGGTCCTTTCCTCTCTTTCCCTGTCTTTTCCCCACATGTGCTGTTACATCCCCAAGCACAAAATGAGAAAATATTTCTGCATAGTTGACCTGTCGTTTTGTATTAAACTTCTGAGTCAACTCCTGAAATCCTATTTACTTGGGTGGCCTCTATCTCCATAAAGAACAGAGAGTATTTGTGGCACCTTAGAGACTAACAAATTTATTTGAGCATAAGCTTTTGTGGTCCGATGAACTGGGTTTTAGCCCACGAAAGCTTATGCTCAAATAAATTTGTTAGTCTCTAAGGTGCCACAAGTACTCCTTGTTCTTTTTGCTGATACAGAGTAACACGGCTACCACTCTGAAATCTATCTCCATAGTATCTGGTGCCTCCTAAATACTTAAAAGTAGAAGGAACTGCTCTCTCTCTCTCTCTCTCTCTCTCTCTCTCTCTCTCTCTCTCTCTCTCCTCCTCAGTCTGCAGGACAAGTTTTTTAATTAGTTCATATTGCTTTTTTGTTTTTTTAGTGGGTGAGTGGGCTGTGTGCAAAGGACTTCCTGAGAAAGTGCAAAGTCAAAGAGATGAGTTTTATATTTGTGTTTTAGTTGCGAGGGAGAGTTCCACAGTCTAGTTCCAGCTCCTGGGACAGAAAACGCATTTTCTGCAAAAGCAAAATCTTCTGCAGGCAAACTTTGTATGTTTTGCTCAACATTTTCACACAGGAAGCAGCTTGACTTGCTTGAGACAAACCAGTGTGACTGCAGACTTTCAGTTCAGTTATAACCGTGTAATTATAGTGATCAGTTTTGTCACATTTTGTGGACAAGGCCTTAGATTGTAAGCTTTTTGGGGCAGGGATTCTCTCTTGCAGTATGTGTATACATGCATACAATAACTTGCACAGTGCGGCCTTGTTCCCTGTCTGAGGAGCTCTCACAATATAAATAAGATCACAGTCTACTACTTGTACTGGTGGCTTTGAGGGAAACTGCTTTTAAAGGCTTGGCTACCGAAACATGCTCAGGCTTGTCTCATGAAAAGCTTTGGAACAAAGGCTCATCTTAGCTGTTGCTAAGGGAGACACACATGGGTGAGGTATTGGCTAAGGGACACAGACAAGCAGCCAAAAAGGGATGGGGCAGCTTAGTGTCTGCTGAGAAAGAGGGGTGCAAGGATTCTGTCAGGTATAGGAATTGGGAGTGTTTCTTCAAATTGTTTAGGAGCCATATAGCAGGCCGTCCAGTCCTCTGGAAAATAGAGGTTTGCAATGGAAAAACTGGCAGAGTTGGTTACATCAGCATTATCAGGCACGCAGGATAATTGAGAAAACTGGCTCGTACCGAAAGCTGAACTGCAAACTTTCTCCTT